GGTGCACTTTCGAGGAGGACAGACCATGGATGATAGGACTTCAAGTACCTCCACTCCCTTCCCAAGACTGCTACAACCCTCATCTAATGTCCGATCAAAACCAAACTTGGCACACAGAGCCCCCATGAACCACTCTACATCTTAGTGCGGTTTGGAGTAGGGCATACCATGGATGATGGGACTTGAAGTACCTCTACTCGCTTTCTGAGACTGCTGCGACCCTCAACAATGACTGAACAACACCAAACTTGGCACATAGACCTCTCATGACCCACTTTACGCCCTGGTGTAGTTTGACTGTGGATTGAGCATGGATTATGGGACTTGCAGTACCTTCGCTCAATTCCTGAGACCACTGCAACCATCATCCAATTTCCGATAAGGACCAAACTTGGCACACCGGGTCTCCATGATGCACTCTACATCCTGGTGCAGTTTGGAGGATGATGCACCATGGACAATTGGACTTGCAGTGCCTTCACTCATTTAGTGAAACCACTGAGACCCTCATCCAATGACTGATGAAGACCAAACTTGGCACACAGAACCCCCATGGCCAACTCAACATTCTGATGAACAGACTATGGATGGTGGGACTTCAAGTACCTCCACTCACTTACCAAGACTGCTGCAATCCTCATCTAATGACCAATCAAGACCAAACTTGGCACATAGAGCCCCCATGAGTGACTGTACATCCTGGTGCTGTTTGGAGGAGGACGGACAATGGATGATGGGACTTGCAGTACCTTCACTCACTCCCTGAAACCACAGTGACACTCATCCAAATACCAATAAAGACCAAACTTGGCACAGAGAGCCCCCATGGCCAACTCAACATTCTGGTGATGTTTGAGGGAGACTATGGATGATGGGACTTGCAGTACCTTAACTCACTTTCTGAGACTGCTGTGACCCTCATCCAATGACTGATCAAGACCAAACTTTGCACACAGAGCCCTCATGACCCACTCTCCATCCTGGTGCAATTTGGAGGAGGATGGACCACAGATAATGGGACTCGCAGTACCTTCACTAACTTCCTGAGACCACTGCGAGCCATATAAATAACTGATAAGGACCAACCTTGATATACAATTCCTTTCTCTAATAACCCGGGCAGCGCCGGGTCCCCAAGCTAGTATATATATATATATATATATACACAAACAAATAGTGAAGGCTTGGAAGTTTGCTATTTCCAACACTAGTGGAAGAGTGTTCTGTCCCTCTTCCCCACAAATCTGGCAATAAATCTGGTCACTTTCAAATCTTCAGCCCTGCAAATCTTCATTTTCTGGAAGTATTACAGGTATTATAGGAGGTGTTGTGGCCAAATGCATCCACCACTGCTCTTAGTTAAAGCACAATGCTCCAAGATGGGATGACGGGTGAGTCGACAATACCTTGCACAGTCGGATAGCGTTGTTAAAAGCTTGGGCTCTGGTATAGAAGTGTACGGCTTGTTTGATGTCATCATGGCTCTCATACTGGCGGGCAACATGATAGGAGGCTGCCCAGTTCCCTGTAGCATTTGCAATATCAGCCGCCTGAAAGGGAATCAGAGAAAAAAACATGCTTTCCCTGGATGAAGCCATCAGATGAGTGCCTTTTCTTAAGGAAACCTGGAGGAAGGAAGATTACCTTCTGGATGTTGCCCAGGAAACAGTGAATCCGGACCATGGAGAAGTAGTCTTGAGCCAGTTCGTAATATTTCAAAGCTGCTTCCATGTCTGCCTGACCTTCCAGGTACTGTGCCCACCACTTCCACAAGCCCCTGGAAAGTTAATTGATATCCTCTTAAATCAATTTGATTAAAATCCCCAAGATGACTGAGAAAATACTAGCCAAATTGCTATTAACAAGAAAATAAATAGCAAAGCTGTACGCTGTAATGAGCAATTGCTGTCAATTAAGAATCAGAATGACCGCAAAGAAGCACAGCCTCTCTTTTCAATGCCTTCTATTGCAGCCTGAGTCACGAAGATTCACAAAGAGTTCAAAGAAGACTAGTGGGCCCAGGACAGAACTCCTTCAGATTTATTATTATTTATTTATGACATTTATATGTTGCCTTCTCACTCCGAAGGGGATTCAGAGCGGCTTACAAGATATATATACATGCAATATACTATATTATTAGCATAGTACAATATCAGTATTAAATATTACTATATTGTATTATGCCATTATATTGTAACATTATTAGTAATATTACATGTAATATAAATATATAATTATAATATATTATTAGCAGTAGTATTATATTGCATTACATTATAATATAAATTGAAACACAATCATAGCGAGCCCTCTTCCTTTTATAAATTTTGTGCTGATAAGATACTATGTAAGGAGAAAAATGGAATGTACACAAAATAGACACAAATTCCTCTTTAGTGATTTCCCCCTTTCTTTAATTTCTTCTACATGACTTTTTAAAACCTCAATTCACCTATAAGTACTTTATACTTCCCTTCTGGTTTCTCTTCGACTTGGCCGACTTTTATTTCTCATTGGAACTATTTGCAACTGTGCTTTCAACATCTCACCTGTAAAAACTCTCATCCTTCATTAACTCCCTTCTTTTTGAACATTTCTAATGTAACCTGAGTCCTGATGGAACAGATACTACTGTATATCAATATCTCCTCTCCAGGGATTGGGCTGAAAAGACTTTGGATTGAAAACCCAAGGAAGAGTTTAAAAACTAACATAGTCCGCCCCGGCCCTAACAGGAGCATTCCCAGCAGATGGAGCAGAATGCATTCATTCAGGCACTGGGAAATACTCACTTATCTTTCATCTTGTTGACATAAGACTCCAAGGCCTGTAAATCTTCAGAAAGCATCCGTGGGACCTCAAATTTGTGTGTGTCTGACTTTTCATAACTGCCAGCAAGGAAAGGTATATTAGAAAGACAAGCCAAGGACAGATTCTGTATTCTAGTTATACTTAGAGGTAAGAAAAATAGTACATATATTTCACATTTGTATAGTAGCCTTAAAAGCCAGCATGGGGTAGTGGTTTTGGGAATCAGACCAGGATTCAACTCCCTGCTTGGTCATGAGTGAATCACACTCTCTTTGCGTCATAGGAAGCCAACAGCAAAAACCCCTCTGAACAAATCTTTCCAAGAAAACCTTGTGATAGGTTAAACTAGAAATAACTTGAAGGCAAAATCAAAATCAAACAGTATTTTTTTGAAATCATTCATTCTATTTTATAGGGAGCCACTGGTGTTGCAATGGGTTAAACCCTTGTGCCGGCAGGACTGCTGGCGGAAAGGTCAGGGGTTCAAATCCAGGGAGCGGGGTGTTACAGTATATGGTTTTGTAAGTCTTGACAAGAATCATCTCTTGCTTATGTGTGTGTTGAGGAAGAACC